TCACGCAAGGATGTTGCAATGCTGTAAAAGTATAAGCATATACAAAATGTTGGTGCTGTGCTCCCACCTCCCTACATCTCAGATCCCTGGCCATATGGTCTTTCTCCCTCCCTTGTGCTGGCTCTCGTGCTTATCTGAGTCTAAAGTGAGCCAGCTCACTGGCAGAAAATTCACCCAGTGAAAGAAGTGTAAATGTGGGTGTTTGAGGGTGCTGGTCGACAGCCAGCTGAACATGAGCCAGCAGAGTGCCTGGGAGGCCAAGAAGACCAACAGCATCCTGGCCTGGATCAGCAATAGTGTGGCCAGCAGGACCAGGGAGGTCATCCTTTGCCTGTACTCAGCTTTGGTAAAGCCGCACCTCAAGTACTGTGTCCAGTGTTGGGCCCCTCACTACAAGAAGGACATGGAAGTGCTGGAGCATGTCCAGAGAAGGGTCTGGAGCACAGGTGTGATGAGGAATGGCTGAGGGAACTGGGGTTGTTGAGCCTGGAGAAGAGGAGGCTGAAGGGAGACCTTCTGGCTCTCTCCAACTCCCTGAAAGGAGGGTCGAGAGAGGTGGGGGTGGGTCTTTTCTCACAAGTAGCAAGTGATAGAACAAGAGGAACTGGCCTGAAGTTGCACCAAGGGAGGTTCAGATTGGATGTCAGGAAATTTATTTTTTCACTGAAAGGGTTGTCAGGCATTGGAATGGGCTCCCTCAGGAAGTGGTTGAGTCCCCATCCCTGGAGGGATTTAAAAGGTGGGTAGATGAGGTGCTCAGAGATATAGTTTAGTAGTAAACAGATACAGTTGGACTCGATGATCTCAAAGGTCTTTTCCAACCATATGATTCTATGATAAATACTTTTCCACATGTTTGTTGGTTTTGTTTTTTTCTTTGTGTTGGACTTTTTTACAGTTCAGGTTGTACCTCAGGCATTTATAAAGCTCAGTGACACACCAGTGTCAGATCACCCATTCCTGTTCAGCACTGAAGCTGGGAGGGGTGTGCTATCCAGGAAACTTAGCTCTCAAATGAACTCAAGGTGTGAAACTTCTCTGCTACAACCTAAGAGTTCAGCCTTCTTGCCACATGAGCTACCTCACCATGAACCCTGTCACACAGCAAGCTGCAGAGTTGCATTTGTGTTGGAAAAGCAGGTATTTGAGAGATCTGGCAGTTGCAATCTTTCTTACCTTCAAATTCAGACTTTATGGTCCTGTTGGCAAAGAGTGCCAATGGAAACTGTGAGTGTTCCTTTTAGAAAGTAAACATTTGCTATGAGTTATTACATAGAGCTGAGATGTTCCAGTTTCTTCTCTCCAGTTAGATGTGATTTTTCAAATAGCATGATGTGGGAACTGTTGACAAATGCAGAGTGTTGGTTTTCTGACTACAGTG